AAAGGCAGGGGGGAGCCGGAGGGGAAGCAGAGAACGCGAGCGAGGCACCAGCCCGCAGCCCGCCCCCAGCACATCCTCAGACGCGCAGACACTCGGCGAGGCGCTGGGCGAGGTGGAGGTGAGGGCGGGCGCGAGCGAACTCGGAGAGGGGCTCGCTCACTCCCAGGCGATCCCAGGCGCCGCCGCCGCCGCACCAGCAGCAGCAACAGCAGCAGCAGCTTCCTTCCTCAGACTCCCCTCGTGAGGCTGGCCGAGCGGGTGTAGCCGTTGGGGGAGGCTCCGGCTAGGGGAACCCGGCGAGGGTAAGAGCTGGGCGGCTGCCTCCCACTCGGGCCGTCCGGCGGTGGGTGCCTCCGCCCGCGTGTCGGTCCCGGGTGCCGGGGGATGTGTGTCAGTTTACGCCTCTGAGATCACACAGCTGCCTGGGGGCCGTGTGATGCCCAAGGCAAGTCTTGGGTTTTATTTTTATTATTTTTTTCTTTTTTACGCTTGGCTTACGGGAAACATCCGTGATGTTGTAGGATAAAGGAAATGATACTTTGAGGAACTGGAGAGGACATAGATGCTTTTTTAAAGAGAGGAAACCCGTCCTGTCTTCCCAGCTTGCTCCCTCTTTGCTGATTTCAAGAGCTACCCTCCTCCTGGTGAGGTGGGGATCCGGCAAGAATAAAGGTGAAGACGGGCCGCCAGGACCCAGGAGGGAAACATTGACCAGTAGAAACCTTTACAGAGGACACTGAAAGGAAGAATATAAGAAAGAGAAAAATACAAAGACATAATTATACCAGAAATCTACAAAAACATCTCTGGAGAAAACAACCTCCAAAATGGATATGTTTCCTCTCACCTGGATTTTCTTAGCTCTCTACTTTTCAGGACACGAAGTGAGAGGCCAGCCAGGTAAGCCTTTCAAAGTTTTTTTTCCCTATTCATTTCAACATGCCTTTACCTTTAAAAGCTACTGCGAATGCAGGGGGCCACACGCAATGGCATAGAAGGAGGCTCGCTCAATACTGAATTATTTAGAGAGAGATCCCACCCGGCCCTTCCTACACCACCAACGCTGCTAAAACCCAACTTTTCTCTCCTGCTAAGGAGTGTGAGAGTGTATGTGTTTTGAAACATAGACAGAATTTGGCGGTGTTCAGATGTCACATATGGACTGAATCAAAGGTTTAAAAATACTACAAAGCCTTTGCATTACAGTTTTTGGGAATTTTTTCCCCTGTCTTGAAGCAGAACACATCTCCCTTGAGTTTCTTCAACCTAGCCAGCGAAATATAAATCATTTGCATTCCCTCTACTTAGCTACATTGAGCAATGTTAACTGAAGGGCTTGGGAAATACAGGAGTGTAGTTTGGGTTTTCCGATGCTGTGGATGCTTTACAGACTGTGTGGATGAGCCTCAGAATCATAGGGCTCAGGCTGATGGAGCAAGTTATCTTGCGGCTGAGCCCAGGGCTTGGGCTGGGCTCTGCTGGCAACCAAGGTGGTTGGTCGACCAGCTCTCTTTCCCGCATCCATTTGTTTTGCGGGGAAGTAAATCATCTGTTCTTTTAAAAATTATTATTAGATAAAACAAACTGTGACCCTTGAAGGTCTCACTGTTGTGAAGTGGTAAGAAACTTTTGAGTGGAATTTATTCTCAACCACTGCCAAAAAGGGTGTGTGAATGGACTGCAGAGAAAAGCACTGCAAGGCCCAGAACAGTCTGGGCCAATATTTGGGGGTTGGCGGGGGCGGGTGGGGGGAGGCTGGCTCGGGGTCGGCTTTCTGAGAAGGGCTCTCCGGTTCCAGGGAACCCAGTGGGGTTTGTTCTGGCTTCCCCACCCCACTCTCCTGGGGGAGCCTCTCTCCCCTCTGACAACACTGCCTGGAATCTGACAAAACTCTAAGAAGCTGCTACAGGTGATTGAGGATGGGGAAACCATCCCTGGAGGAAATAGAGAAAAGACAGAGAAAAAGCCTTCCTGAAGTGTCCTTACCCGGAGGTACTTCTAAGGCTGCCACCTCCGTGGTAGGACTAACCTCAGGCAGCCTCCCGGGTTCTACCTCATCACAGCGGGCTAGTGGGTCCTGTGGGAGCCTGGGACTCTGGTCCACACTCCCCAAGAGCCACACACACCCCACTTGAAGCTTGGGTGTTTATTTGAAGGGGAAGGAAGATTCACAAATGCCCTTGTTATCCAAATCCACACGTTTGCTGCTGCTTCTCTGCCGTAACTGGTCTTCAGAGCAGCTGCAAATCTTATCAAAGAGATGGGTGCAGGCCCCACTTGGGGAGATTTCCTGTGGCTCCCCATTCCCTATTGCCTTAATTCTAAGTTCCCAGCTTGAAGCAAAATTAAATTACCTCCCACAGACCTGAAAGCTGCGTAAATTATGTATGTTTGTGTTATTCGCTCTCTGTGTGTGTGTGTGTGTGTGTGTGTGCGCGCGCGCGCGCTTAAGATGCCCACGGTACATTATGTATTCAGGCACGGACGCTGGTAGGCCCTGGAGCGCGAGTACGCGCACACTGGCGCACACACCGGCGCGTGCGTGCGTGTACACACACACACACACACACACACACAACTTAAGGTTCCGTGTGCTGTGCGGAGCGGGAGGGGTCGTGAATACTCTGGGGCTATCTCCTACCCCAGATGTTCGCACATCTGTCCCCGAGCGCTGCGCAGAGTGTGTACGTGTGTGTGCGACACCCGCTCAGACCCACTCCCGCTCTGCCACCTGCCTCCCGCGCTCTCTGCAGAGCCCCCTCCCACCCTAGCCCCGGGCGCGCTGCGTCACTTCTAGAGAAGCCCAGAGGCGCGGAAGTACGGGCAGGTCACCCTCTACGAGGCCTCAGGCAGCCTCGGACCCGGGGTGGGACCTCCTGGTGGGACGCGGAGCTGGGACCTGCCTGGGGTGGATATTTTCCAGCCCGCGGAAAAGGCGATCGCAAGCCGCGAGCCGCTCGGGCTTTCCGTCGGAGAAGCCGACTGGCACCGGGCGAGCTGGCAGCGGGTAGCAAAGGGCGAGGCCCAGCTAGATCTCTGACTCACCGGTGCGCGCCGGCCGGAAGGGGATCGGGACCAGCCTGCGGCAGCGGCTAAAAACCCATTCCGAGAAGAAGTCAGAGGCAAAGGGAGGGCGAAAGGTGCCAGCCAAGGAGCAGTTGAGCAAATAACCTCGCGGACACCATGCGCGACTTCTAGGACTCTCTGGTAGCTAAGAGGCCGCGTGGGTGTCGCGCACCAGGCTCCGCCAGTCTTTGGCACGCCAGCTGCCCTGCTAGATCTCAGTGCCGCCGCCCGCCTTCTTCCTGTCCCGGCTCGGGACTTGGGGTAGCTCCGCGAGCCCGGCTCGGAGCGCCCTCTCCTGCTTCCCGCGCTCCATACTGCACTGCATTCCCCACCGCCGCTTCTGGAGAGCCGGCTCTGCGGGGGTGGAGGTCAGAGCGCTGGCCCAGCTGCGTTGCGGGAAGCCGGAGTGGGATTCTGAGCCGGGGTCGGAGCGGGGCGGAACGAAGGCAGCTGGAGCCGCGAGGATGCGCGCAACTTGCGCTGCCTCTGGTAGCGCCGCGCGCCGGGCGCCCACCAGTGCGGGCGAACAGGTGAAGAGCACGCGGTGCGCGGGCATCCACGTGGTGGGGACGTTGTGGCCCCCCCCAGCCCAGCTACCCCCACCCACCGCTGTCTCTGACGCCGCATCGATTTGTTTGGGCTGCGCAGCAGAAACAGAGCCGAACGATCCATAAACATTCTATTAGGGAAAAATATTCCCAGCGAAAGCAAAACCGAGGCTCAAGCCTGGGTGAAGTGGCCGCCTCCAACTCCTCCAGACTTGTCCCCTCCTCCTCCTGACTAAGGACACCCCCCGGGAGACGCTTGCGGCATTTCCTCATTGCTACCCATTGCCAGAAAGTTAAGTCGCTGCTGCGGTTCTCTGCCTGGGAGAAACCTCTGCAGTCGCGGCGAGTTCCGCCTCCCCTCCCCCGCCGCCTCACTCTTTGCTTTTCCACTGGAGAAAAAGAAAGATTCGCGGCCAATGCTTCATTTTCACTGATTGATTCCTTTTTAATATCAACAGAAGTTAATGGAGGCGAGGCGAGCTGTAATTAAACGGCTGCCTCCACCCTTCGCCTCGGGCTCGCGCACCGCCGTTTTCCCCACCAGGTCCCCTGCACCCGGTGGCTGGGTGAGGGGCGCCCGCAGAGCTAACGTCTGGGGGCTGGCGAGGGGTGGTGGTGGAATGAACCGGTCGCCCCTCCGGGAACCGTGGGGATATGAGGATGGGAATCAGCTTTCCGAGCCAAGTTTAGGAGATTCGGCTCAAACGCGTCGCCGCTTCTGCGGCTCCAGTTGAATTTCTCTGAAAGGGGAGGGGATCCACGCTCTGGTTTATTGGCGTGTGCTGAGGCTCCTCTCCCTCCCTCCGCCTCCCTTCCTTTCGGTTTTAGACAGAGAGGAGAGCCCCCTGGCGCTAGCCATTCCCGGTCAGAAACTCTCCTTTGCTGGACTTACTCGTGGTCCGCGGGGAACTGGGTTTTGCTCAGGAAATAACTCAGGCCCTTACAGTGGGTTTCTAAAGATAGTGGCAACTCCCAGCCCTAACGTTTCCCCACCTCCGGGACACAACGCTTGGGGCCAAAAGAATCCGGACCCTGTAACCAACGACCTCCCACCCCTCGCCCCTTGCCTGTAGAGCTTTGATCTGTGCTTGGGTTTTAACACCATTGCCATGGACACTGGAAGACACGGTCAATTCAACCTTTCGTCTGGACCGGATGATCAGATAAGAGGTGTAAATTGGCTGTAGGGGAGAGATCTGGGTTCAAACAAATCCTGAAAGAGAAGACAGGACAGGCTAGGCGCTGGAGATGAGTTTGAAGAGGCTTGCTTTTTTAGCCTGTCTCTCCAGATTGCAGGATGGCTGTAGGTAGGCATAAATATTTGCAAGCAGAGCTATAAACTCCTGGATTCTGCACAGACAGCCTGCTCTAGGCTCTGGGGACTGGTCTCGTGCTCGCATATAGTGGGTACCCAGTCAACTTTACCCCATAAGCAGCCACTGGAGGTGGTGAAGCTGGGGCCAGTTGCCAAAGGAGCACACAGTGCAAAACAGTGGAAAGAGGAGCGCTCCCAAGGAGGGCTGCAGGGCAAGCCCCTTCTTGTCCAAGTTGTGCCTGGTAGAACTGTGAACGCCCAGGCAGCGCTGCAGGTCTGGACTTTCATGTCATGCTGTGGAACCCTCAGATTAAGCCACAGAGCACCCAACTGGCAAAATGAAATGTTGGAAGGCTGCAGTGCCTAGAACCCCGGGCTATCCAGCCAGGACTCCTGCTGTGTACCAAATGGCTCTCATCTCCTGCTGTTCAATATATAGTTCACATGCTGCAATCGAAAGGCCAGTTCCTATCTTCCCGCTGTAGACATGGCTTGGAGTCCAAATGCCAATTCATATGCAATGAGGCATGAAAGCAAATAACAGTTGGGGAGAGGCCCCTGGGGGTCAGTGGGAGAGACACCGTGGACTCGATGGTTCTGAGGACCCTGCCTGGTGTTTTTCTTTTCACTCAACTGTTCATTAAATCAGTCAAGAGAATGAGCTGACTTTGGGTGACCCGAGTATGGGGCACACTTGTTAACAAAATTAACAGAATTCAGAGCCAGGTTCACTGGAAAAGAATTTTCAGAATATATTCCCCGAAGGTTTAGTTTGGGAAGACTTTAGGAAACAGAGATGAGACTTTCCTTTTATAAAAGACGGAGCAGAGGCATGATAACTTTTTAATTTCTTGCACTGACGAGAAAGGGCTTGAAAAGTGGCATCTGGGCAGTAGTTTGTAGTATCATTAACATATTCGAGATATTTTATCATCTGGCCATCATTTGCCACTGAATAATCTTTGAGGTAC